GGGTATTTTATTTCTAAAGTTAAGCTCCACAGGCATATTCTGTTTAAAGTTCTTTTCATCTTCTCAAAAGCTACATGCAATAGAGCATGTGAGTTGTTTTAATGTTAGTTCAGTTCTTTCTGTTCTATATATTGTAAAACTCAAGTTTGTTGACCCTTGAAAAAGTTGCATTTCATTTAGCAGAGAAAATAAAATGTCCCACTTCCCCCTAGATAAAGAATAATATTTTCTAATTTTGCAAACACTTTATAAAAGTATCATTTGACTCTATATTTTTACAGCTGCTTTGCATTTATTATTGGAGAGGCCCTTCATACAGTATGTTTCTTTCATTTCTACTCAAGGGGTGTTATTATTTTGGAATTATTCAAATTTAAGAGCGTGATAAAGGATCTTCCTTCAGGGGTTCTTACTAAACAAACCCTTAACTTCTTGCTCCTAAGAGGAATAAAGACAAAAGGTTTCTGAGAAATAAGAAAAGAAAGGAAAAAGATGGTAGATTATGAGCTTCTTCATTTTGGAATTGGTACAATTCACCATGGTAAATTCAAGACCTGACATCTTGCCTGGCATTTAGCAGGTGCTCCAGAAATGGTCACGGAGTTGAACTGCTTTGGGAAGAGGCAGGGGGTTATTATCCTCCTTACACAGATGGGAAAACCGAGGGTCAAAGAACTTATAGGTGTGTCTGTACTGTGCTTCGCACTTCACCGATGGCCCTCACATAAGTGAGCTCATGTAAAAGCTGGTCCTCACAAAGGCAGGAAGGATTGAGGGTGGGAGGTAGGGGTGGGTGGGGCAGGGGGAAGTGGTGACAGGAAAATGTAGACAACTGTATTTGAACAATTAAAAAATTTTTTAAAAAGTTGGTCCTCATAACCATTACATGTAAACTAGGAAAAGTAAATATTTTCAGGTAAAAAGCTAAGCAGTGAAGTGTTCAACCTACAGTGAATTAATTAGTCACTGCGAGATGCCCCTCTATGGTGGAGAGAATTAGTCTATGATGGTAAAAAATAACTAAAACCTCCCAAGGAAAAAGTACTGGTCCTTAGGCAGCAGTGGAACAAAAAGCTACTCTTCAAAGCACAAAAACAATCAGAAAAGTTATTTGCAACCTCAAGACCCAAGAAAGTCCTGTGATATAGTGAAAAGCAGCTCTCATATACTATTGGTGGTAGCGTAAATTGATGCTATTTTTATGAAGGAAAATTTATGAATACCTAACAAAGTCAAAATGAACCTATTTTGACATAGCAATTTACTTTTATCCTTGTAGTCCCACTGTAGACATATTGGCACCAGAGTGCATAGGTATATGAGGAAAAGGATTGAATAAATATAAGAATATGAATATAAGAATGTTCACTGTGACATTCGTTGTTAGTAACAGGAAAACTTAAAACAGCCTAAGTGTTCATCAATAGCTTGCTGGCTACACAAGAGTTATCCAGGCAGTGATATTTTATGCAGATATTTGAAATATAACATTAATCTATGTATTGATGTGAAAAAAATGACCACAATGTATTAAGTCAAAAGAAAACTACTTAACAGAATGATTTCCTTTGAGTAAAAATGCTCATCAAATATTAGTGATGGTTCCCTCTAGAAAGGGGGATGGGCTATTTTTTTTTTACTTTATTCCATACTACCTGATTTTTAACGGCAATAGGTTATTTTTAAATACTCAAAAATTTCAGAGAGGCTGTCCAATTCTGGCCACCGAGGAAGCTTTTTACTTTTTTACCCACCAGTAAACAGAACCTAGGAAGTGGCTACCACCCTTCATCACCACAGTGCTTAACACAGAGCTTGCTCAGCACATCGTTGGTGCTCAGGAAATATTTGGAGAATGAGTGAGGCTGGCTCACCTTGGCCCCTCTGTAGTCAAGTGAGATGGAAGGACAGCAGAACACTGGGATGGCCCAACCCTAAAAATCTGAGTCAGTGGGTCAAGGGAGGAGAGTTTAAAATGACACATTGCTAGGGCTGGTTTATATAAAAGACAAGACTGGCTACGTAAATGTTAACTCACCGCGCAATAATTTGGGAGTTCTATTTGCAATGGAAAAAAGACTGGTAACACGTCCGTAGTGTAAGTTTCTTTGAGCATGTCTTGGGGCAGTTATCTGCTGGTTTAGAGGCCAGAGGAGCATGAAGAGGAGTGGAATCTTGGAGCCCGCTCAAAGGACACAGTCAATTCTGTCCCTGCACCTCCCAGCAACATTCCCATAGTAGGGAGTGTAGGCGGACGGACCATCTCCTGGGACAGCGCTCCCTCCCGCTTTCTCCTGGGGAATTCTTTTCCAGCGCCGACTACCAGGAAGTTCCTTATTGCACCGAACCAGAACCTGCCTCTTTGCGAAGCTGATCCACAGACCCCAGTTCTGCCCCTAGCATCCCACACAGTGACGTACGCAGCTCTGCCCAGAGCGGCTGCGTGAGACCCGCCTGAAACCCCCGCTTCTACACGAGTGCCGTGTGACTGTAAGGCCAAGGTTAGCCACTCTCTCCAAACCTGAGCTTCTTCTGTACAACATGGGGCGAGTATGGGTTCCACCTCACGGGTTGTTTTAGGAGGATAATAAAATAATATATGCGAACTGCCAATCACAACATATGGCACAGAAATACTTAATAAATAATAATGCAATTTTATAGGCCTTTCCCGTTAGGTATTTGACGGAAGCAGGGAGGGAAGTGGCACAAAATAGCAAAGTTAACATACAAGATGCCTGTCAGTGAAACGTGTGCCTGAGACCTTGATCTCCAGTGACTCCAGCATCTCCTCTGTGTTTCCTCACTAGAAACAAATTAGGAGAACACTCCCAGGAGGGAGCAGGAAATGCCATCCCATTCGTTGGGCAACAACAAAAAGCCTGTGCTTTCACAACTACAGATGCTAACTTATAAAAGTAACTCCAGGTGTTTGGGAATCTCACTCACTGACGGGGGATTCAAGGGAAGAGCCCCCTCCAGGGCTTCTCTCAAAACCTGTCTCCCTGAAGCTTCCTAACATTCAAACAGCCATCAGGCGGAACTCTGTCCTTTCCAGCCGTTCTGAAACTTTACCTATCAGCCTGGATTTGATCTTCTGTTATCATTATTCTAGACATAAATGATAAAGCCTATGTACATTCAGGAATGTGTGCGTGAGCACAACGTATACATGTAGTTACAATATACATCTATCTTACACGCTATATGAGATTCAGTGGCCTGGGAGACTGAGGGTCTAGGCCTGATGTTCACTGGGTCACTCAGTCCCTGCGTGAACTCTCGGGGCTGATGAGTCTTCCCAGGCTCCCGAGGCGCTCTGGGTTCGCACAGCAGTGCTGGGGGCTGCTTTCACCGGGTTCCAGGCCTTCGTCTTGTTTTAAGCAGAGCGGCAATATTTTTAAAATTGTGTTACATATATTGTGATTCTGTATGAGAACTCATTTGAAAAATGAGTCTTTTTCACCAGGTGTTTGGAAACTAGATGATGTTCAAGGTTCTGAGTTCTGTTTTCCTACCTGTATTTCAGAGGGGAGGTAGAGACGGAGAACGAGAGGGGGGAGGGGAGGGGGGAGGAGGGGAGGAGTATTAGTGGGGGAGGTGGGGAGAAAAGAAGAGGAAAAAAGTGGCCAGAGTGATGAACAGTAGCTTCTCTGTGTTACTAGGTATGGTTTGGGAACAGGCTTTCTGAGTAATTAATGATTCTTACTCACTTTCTAAGCATATTACCTAAAAATACAACACTGAATAAGTGCCTTTTTGTTTTTCAGTTGGTACCTAATGCCCTGCACATTTGAAATGATTTCCTCCCCACTTCCTTCCCCCCGCCCCCTCCAATTTCCAGCCCTGGGTTTGAATCATTAAACTGAGAGAAAATCCTTAGCACTCCAAGTCAATGGCTCATTCCTGCTAGGCGCTGTCTAGCATCCTTACAATAAAATAACGTAAGAACAAAAGCATAATTAGTTTGGTGGATGGTATCAGCAATAATGAGGTCTTGAACTTGGAGCAAAAGGGTTCAAGGGTGTCTCTTTTGATAGCAGAGGAGATTCTGGATGCCCCTGAAATGCTGCCTCTGGCAAGGGCCACCTACGCAGGGCAAATCCTTGATAGGAGCCAGCCTCAAGAAGCCTGCTGAAACATCATAAAACCATGCTCCTACCTGGCAAGGGTTTGGGAATGAAGAAGGGGTAAGGTTTTTAGGATCACAGTGGGGTTATGTGGGGGCCATGTTCAACTGAAGAGGTGCCTCCTGAATCTCGGCGGCCACCAGGGTGCACAGCGTGGGGCTCAGCTGCATCAACAGAACCAGGTGCCCTCTGTGTTGGGCTGTGACCTGCCTCTGCTGGGACAGCAGGGTGCAGTGGAAAGGGGGCTGGACAGAGAATCAGAAGACTCAGGGCAAGGTGCCTTGCTTCTCTGAGCCACTATTTCCATAAATGAAAGACAGAATAAAAATTACCCACTGGATCTGCCTCATGGGTGTGTTGGATGGTGTAAATAAAACAGGGTCAGGAAAGCATTATGTAAATTCAAAAGTCCCATAAAGGGTAGACTGTATTCAGTAGCCTATGAGATAGTTAACTGTGATCTTTAAGAAAAATCCCAAAAGCTTGCTTAATCACTTTCCTAAGATACAAATATAGAAGTCTAGTGAATTTTTAAATAAATGAAGTGTTTCACTATGTGCACATAATTTTCTAACCTTGGTCTTAATTCTAGAAATCATTGTATCAGACACTCCATAAAGAACTGCATATAAAATTACAAAGTTCTAATTATATATAAACATATACATAAGATAAAATTTAATTATATATGATTTCAAAAAATAGGACTAGATTATTCTTAAAGAACTACTGTAGTGGCAATTGAGCCTTTAAATATACACAGTTGTAGCAAAAAGTTTTACAAAAAATCGCCCTCAATCCAGAGTCTCCATTTCACAATATCAATAGGTCATATGCGTTTACTCCTATCTTAGACCACTGCGTCTCAAAGTCATCCATGTAGACCGAGGTGCTGGAAGGCCACGGAGCTCAGCTTCCTACAGAAAACCGTTAGCTCTTCTGGTCAGGAAGTTCTCGGGAGCAATCCTCTTCATTCTCCTCTGAGCAAGACAGGTTCAATGCGCTCATCACGGGATGGATCCAGGAGGTGGTCTGTGTTACGTGACTTGAGAAGAACAAGGAACGCAATTACAATCTGGAAGCTTGTCCTATCCATCCATGCAAGTACTTATCCTAGTGACATTGCTTCTACCCTACTGCAGTCCCTTGTGACAGGAAGTAATTGGAACTGAATCTAATCTATACATTTTTAAAAAATTTATTGATTTTAGAGAGAGAGAGGAAGGGACAGAGAGGGAGGGAGGAAGGGGAAGAGAGAGAGAGAGAGAGAGAGAGAGAGACTGATTTATTGTTACACTTACTAACACATTTATTGGTTGATTCTTGTATGTGCCCTGACTGTGGACTGAACCTGCAACTCTGGTGTTTTGGGATGACACACTAAGCAACTGAGCTGCCCTGCCAGGGCCTGGATCCAATCTTTTAATAAGTCTTAGATATGTTTTAAGGTTCACCAAAAACTGTTTCTTTTTTTTCTTCTTCAGTAACAAGAATTGCAGGACAGTGATTCATCTTGGATCCCTTGTTTTTCCTTATCTGACATTCATTCAGTCAGCAAGTTCTGCAACTGTCTTGCTGTCACATTTCTGGAATCTCTTACTTCCTCTCCTTTCCAATGCTGTTGCCTGGGTCACTGAAATTGCTTGTCTCTCTGCCTCTCTTCTAGTTCTTCTCTAATTCATGCTCCACTCCAGCCAAGAGATCTTTCTAATGACATACACTACTGATGCTCACTTGCTAAAAATTCAGTCCGAGCCAATGCTTCCTGGATCAAATACATACTTCATAGCATGAAAAACTTCAGGTTTTCTTTATTTCCTTCCTCCCTCCCTCCCTCCCTTTTCTTTCTCTTACTTCAACAGTGCTTTCTTCTCTGCTACAATCTTCCTTTCTCCCAGCTTGTTAATCCAGTGCACTAATTCTAAAGAACCAACTATCCCTCTATAGTCCTCCAACTGTATCCATGGTCTTATCTCTTATTAGGCTATACAACAAATCTCTGTTAATGCCTATGAAGCTCCTTCAGGGCAAGAACTGATTCTTCTCTTTCAATTCCTGGTGCCTAACATGTTTTCAGAACAAATGACTAGGCATTTCGGGGAAGAACAGAAGCAGAGGAAGGGAAGGACGTAAACAAGACAGAGGGCATGTTCGGGTAGCGGTGGAGCATCAGAAAGCATGCCCCTGCCAGGTGGACGGTGTTTCTCAGAACTGCTCCCCAGCGCCCCGGGTGCGGCTGGATGATGCCCTAAATCCACCACTGTCCGCCCAGCGCCTGTGTGCTGGACTGACAGCTTCTGGAATTAGGATTATTTGTTTCTTTTCCTCAGATATTCTTTCTACCCTTGGTTTATCCCACTGCCCTCATCCATCCTGCCTCAGTTTCCCTCACTCCTATTGTACCCAAACTCAGCCTCTAAAGCAGCGTCAGGTCTCAGAGCAAGTCACAAGTGCTGGAGCTTTTGAATGTCAAAAATAATTGTGGATCTGAAAGTGTCCCCTACATTACAGGATAACATTTTCCCAAGTGTGTCCCAAGGGTCTTCAATAAATGTTATGTGAAGAAGAGAATTTTATGGTCAACTAGGTTTGAGATACACTAGGTTAAACATAGGTAGGTAGGCTTCTTTAGGATTTCCCAGAACTTTAAATACACCATTGTGTTCTCTGACTCTCCAAGAGTATGCAATACTTCTCACACTAGTATGCCCCTATTAGCACACACATGGGGCTAGTGTTCTATAGAACGCAATTTGGGAATTATTACAAAATTGCTCTTGCTGGCTGTCGACGATAACTGAAAATGTTAGATTAAGTACAAATGGTCACTTTCACTGATATTACTGCATTTGGTTTGTTTCCAGTCCTATACTCTAAATTCTATCAATATCCCCTGATACAGGCTGTTAAACTTGTACGTTTAAATATTAAAAATGCATCTTTCCATGGAAGAAGATCACTGATAGGTTCACGACTGGGTAAAAGAGTTCAAGTTGTTTAAGAATCAAGGTGAAGGTGGTAAGGCCAGACATCTTCATAGTTTCAAAACCTCAGAGTGTGGTAAAGTAGTACAAAGAATCATTATTCTCTTGACAGTAATCCACATTACTATTATCTCTAAAATGGCTTAATGGAGTTTCTAATTATGGAGGCTGAACTTACTAAAGCAGTTGATGCTGCACAGGTTAACTTCGTTTCAAGGCCGTTATAAAATGAGAAAGCTGCCTAAATGGAGAGTGGTTTTAAATAAACGCTAGTGAGTGTGACCTAAGCGGGGTACGCCACACGAGGTGAGAGGAGGACCCGTTGTCCTGCACAAAGTACGTGTTTAGAACCAAAAGGAAGAAGTCTGGTGAGACAATTTTAAAATCTTGATATCTATATGCTTCAGTATTTACCAGCACATTTACAATACGCTAGTCCAAAGAAGAGACTAGAAATTACTACAAATCCTCCCTTCCCTCCCACGTTCCCTAGCGGGGGAGGGTGGAAGGAAGAACAGGCTCGACTGTCGGAAGGGGCGTGTGAGTTCAGGTGCAGGCTTTCCTATCTGACTTAAAAAAATATTCTCATGCTTGAAATATTATAACTGCCCATATACAAACATTCCATTAAATTGATCATTCAAAATAATCAAAAGCAAAATGCCTACGAGAGAAATGTCATTATAGACTCTGAACAATGAATATTAGAAAGTTCCACCAGAAAGTCATCCTCACCAGTAACTTTCCTTAAGCATTTTTCAGCAATGAGACAACATCTGATATTACACCAAACACAAATATTCATTGATTAATCTTATGTTCATGCTACGCTTTTCTGTATGTTTTAAAAACACACTCCTAAATACCCAAAAAATGCAATGATAGCAGCTATTCACTAGAAAGAAATAAAACTTCAGCAGCAGAGAGAGAGTGTTCTATGCTTCAAGTGCACCTTCCACCCCTGGGTCTTTGTGAAAACATCCAGGGCCAACACTTCTAAAGCTCAGGTGAAGCATGGAAAATGCCGGGCAATGAGCGCATAGTCCATAAATGATCATGGCTGGTTTTATTGATAATTAGAACTTTCTGGTTACTGCAAGAAAAACTTGGAATTTTTCCTACGATGATGGAATGGGGCATTTGTGTGTGTACCATTCAGTTTTATGTCCTAGTGAGCATTGTAACTGAAGAGCTTTGACATAATCAGTGTGACAAGATAATCCCCCCATTTACTGGCTTGGAGAACATTCTAGTATTAGAAATATTTCCTCCCTGATTTATGTGCTTGGTAATTCAACTGAGAAGAGAGAAAGTAAATCAGTCCTGTTGACTCTGTTTAATTAATAAAGATCCCATGGTTCATAAAGTGAGAGGCTGCTACTTAGAATGAAAAATTTAGAGGTCTAGAAAATAAATGAGGCTGGCTATGAAACATGAAAATCTTCCATTTGGACATGCAGTACCTCTGGCAAATGGTCCTGCAGAGAATGCATCTGATCTGATTTGGGGAGCAATCAACAGCAGTTCAGATATATTTGAAGGGATTATCCAAAGAATGCGTACACAGAACCTACAGACCCAGACGAGGGTGTGGTGATGGCCTCAGGGGAGGCGTGGGCGGGGACTGGGTGGAGGTGGGCAAAGCGGGGTTGGGAATTGGGGACCTGTGTGATAGTGTCAGCAATGAAATTAAAGCTAAAAAAAGAGACAAGAGGGAAGCGGGGGGCAGAGAAAAGGAACGGAAGGGGAAAGTCAAGGAACATATAGCAAGGACTCATGGACAAACCAAAGGGGAAGAGCTGAGGGAGGGAAGGAGGGAGGGGGCAAGGGAAAGAGGTGGGGGGGAGGCAGAGACAAATGTATTTGAAAAAATAAATTAAAATAAAATAAAAAAATAAAAAAAAATAAAAAGTAAGAAAGCATAATACTACATGCCTCTGAATGACTGCCAAATCTGTTATTAACAAACATCAATATGTGATTTGGGAAGATGATTGTATCGACCTTTTTCTTTTATAATAATAATACAATAAATTGAAAGACATGTTTTAGAGCTTATTAAAAAATCCTTACAGAACATGATTTATTTTATTGGCAAAGAAATGTAAGTGAATTATTGAAATTTTATTATAACTGCCCTCCTTATGTTCCTTACCTGCTAGCATGCAAAATGCTTTCTTCTAAAATACAAATTTAGGGCAGCATATTAAGAGAAAAATGGTTGAAAGATAAAAAGTACACTAGTTTCTAGAAATTCATTCATATAACCGTCTGTGATGGTGACGAGGCCTTTTTGTCAGTGTTCCATTGCAGACTGTACAGCATGGCGAGCTGAGGAGGACTGCGAGTATTATTTAATCACGTTTAAGATGAAGCCACAGTTAATGAGCCAAAGCAATTGAATTCTAATTTTTTTTTGGTGGGGGAGGGGCAATCTTTAGTATGTAACATTCATATGAACTAGAAAACAAGAATAAATAAGTAAATATATGTTAATTCAGTCTATTTCTGGCACCAGTAATGTTGAAGCATTAGAAAATTTTACAACTGGCCATAAACTGCAAACACTAAGGCAATAAAAGATTTATACTCAAAAAAAAAATGCCAATTGAAAACAAATCACATGTAAGAAGAAAAAGTGAATCATGTCAATAAGATTAAAAAGTCACCAAATCATGAGGTCACATGTTACCTTGTCAGACACTTGTTATAAGAATGACTGTAGGTTAGCAATATGAAGTATCCATTCCAAACATGTTTAAGACAAAATTACAGGCATTTGATCCCCCGATATATAAAGACTTTCCTCTTACATAAATTTGGAAGTACACTGCTAAAACAAAAATAAATATTTCTCAGAACACTTTGAGCATTTTGCAATTAGGAATTTGAAAATCCAGTGAGGCTATGATCAAATATTAGCAGGATCCCATTCAAATCTTTACAGTTTTGAAAATAAATTTTATTTCTGTTACATATTTATGGCACGTCTATAAAAAATTTATAAGCTATCATTTGAAAATTTAAAAATCCAATTACAGTCATGCGCTGCCTATCGATG